AGGCTGTGCCACATGGAGTTGGTGAGAGGTAAGATTTGGAGAATGACTCACAGAGCTCCTGACATCCCTCCTCCAGCCACAGGGACTTGTGGACTTGTGGGTAGAGGGATGTTGAAGTGTGACCTGTGACCAGCCTCTGCTGGCTTGCAGGCTCCACAGGGAGGTGGCAAGGCATAGGTGACATGGGGTTGGAGGTCTCTACACACAGCGCTCTCAGATCCTCCCCTGCCTCCAGCTGAGCTAGGAAGATGCTTTGGGGGTGGGACACCCTCCTGTCCCTCAGGGCCCCTGGCTGTGACTCTGTGGACCTGCAGCGTGATGGTCCCTCAGCAAGCAGCCTTCACTTGTTTTGGCCTCCTAAGACCCTCTTAGGCCAGCCGAAAAAAAAACCTAAAGCAAAAGCTGGCGCTCAAAACAAAGGGGCCAGCCAGGCAGCACGTGTGATTGCCTCCATGCTCCGTTTCTGGAACCTTGCTGGCACTGATCTCCCAGAGCTCTGGGCTCTGTGTTAGGTGAGAGGCCCTTCTTCAGAGGTTCCCACAGGTAAGGTCTGGGGGGGCCAGCAGTGTGGATGCTGGGGGGACGGTGAGCGGTCAGGCCTTGTCAATCCGGCACGTCCATCAAGAATGGGACACTGATACCACAGGACTCAGGCACACCTGTACACTTCTCTGTTAGGGGTGAGTGGGAATGAGGAACTCCCCATGCTTGCCAGCAACACTGCCAGCATGGACAGGAGGGGGACGGGCCACCTGAGACCCATCCCTCCCACAGGCAGACATGGAGCACCAGGTTCTGCCATGGGACTAGACCAGATCCATGTGGACAGGCTGTCACAGACTGACGGGCCAGTGCCCTGTCACCCTAGCTTGCTGGATGAAGAAGCAGGTGTGATGGAGGCAGGAAGTGTGCTGCCTCAGCCTCTCCTCTTCAGATGAGAGGTTGGGTCCGTGTACCACACAGCATGTGGGTAGAGAGGACCATATCCTGCTGGGCCATCCACCATTTTCCAGCCCCAGGATACTCAAGGTGATATGGACACCCCCCAAAGATGATGTCACCTAGGCCGGGGCAACACAAAATGTCCTGAATGGCAGGGCCAGGGCAGCCTCCCTCCAGCTCCTGCAGCACGGGCTGTTTGCTGAGGACAGGAAAGGGAGCCCATGCAAGGTGGACAGAATAGTGGGGGCCAGGGGTAGGGTGTCAGCAGGATGGCAGGTGGGCAGGGGCGGGGAGGAGCACCCTGCTCAGCCTCTCTGAGCAGCTCCCTAAACCCAGGGACTTCACACCACAGAGAAGGCACAGCCCACGTGTTCCCTGGTTGCGTCCTGAGTTAGGGCCACGTGCCACATCAAAGTAAGCTGGGTCCTCACGTGTCCCTAGAAAGGGGTAAAAACATTTCTGGATTTGGAAATTTCCCCCAAAGCAGGCCGCCGGGGAAGAGCGCGTGTTAATGGGTTTCTGTGAGGCAGGCGCCCTGGCCAGCCTGGCTTTCTGCTGGGAAGCCAAAGCCGCAGAGTCGCCAGCTTATGTGAACACAGAGGGCCGGCGTCCTCTGTCCAAAGGAAGGTGGCGCCATCAGCAAAGTGGTCAGGGGAAGGGAGGCAGACGGAGGGGAGGCTGCAGCAAGCCTGGGCAGTGGGGCCAGGGCAGCAGGGCCCACCTCGCTTCATGTGATGCCCACCCAGAGAGAAAGCTCAGGGTTGG